AAAAAAGAAAATTGAACAAATATCAAAACCAGAAAATGTAAATACTCAAAGTCCTGCCATTGACAATGATAGACCATCTTGCTATTTTTCTTCAGAAGAGAATTTTGAAGCTTTCTTGATTGCTTCATCACTTTCAAAAAAGTTGATATTATGTGGTATTTCAGAAACAAAAATTGGTGAAATATTTACATCGTTTGAAGTTCTAATAAATAACAGCTTTGATAAATTTGAAAGGTACTTAATAGAAAAACATCCTGAGATAAGAGAGAATTTATTTAAGGAAAACTGTATTACTTTTCGGGGTGAATTGACCGATGACTTAAAACAATATTCAACAAAATTTAGAAGAGGAAAACAATGTAGAAAGACAAACTTTTATGTCCCACCAATCGCAAAGCCATTAGGGGGTCATTGGGCTGTTAGAAAAAAAAAGAAAACTTTGTATCCTACAAAGCATTTCGTTCAATCCACATTTCAATATGTTCCTATCCTTAAGACACTAACAACTTTATTTCAAAACAAATCTTTCAAAAAGCTATATTTTGCTAGGAACCATATTTGTAATAGGGAAACACTTGCAAGCTTTTGCTGTTCTGAAAACTTTTCTGCGTCCGAATTTTTTCAAAAGCAACCTAATGCTTTACAAATACAAATATTTTATGATGACTTCGAAATAACTAATCCATTAGGAAGCAAAACCGGAACACATAAGATTGGTGCCCTCTACTTTACAATAAGAAATCTTCCCTTTCAATACAATTCAAAGTGTGCTAACATTCATTTAATTGCGCTTTTCTTATATAAAGATCTCAAAAACAAAAACGTAGATTTTAATAGAGTATTGTATCCGATTATCAATGACATTCGAGCACTCGAAAACATCGGTGTGAAAGTGGACAACATGTTCATAAAAGGTACTTTGGTGACTGTTGCTCACGACAACTTAGGAGCGAATGTTTGTTTTGGCTTTGTATGTTCTTTCAGAGCGGATTATTATTGCCGATTTTGCACAATTCATCGAGAAGAAGCTAAGCACACACTTGTTGAAAACAATAATCTTTTAAGAACACAAGCAGAATACGATAATATATTGACTACTGTTCCCGGAGTAACTCTTTTAGACCCAAAAATCACCAAAGGCATTAAAAATACTAGTGAGATCAATAAATTATCATACTACAAAATTTTTGAAAGCCTTAATGTTGATGTCATGCACGACATTTTGGAAGGCGCTGTCCCTTTCATTCTAAAACTTTTTTTTCAAAAGCTTACGGGAGGCAAATACCTTTCAATAACAGATATTAATGATAAAATCAAAAGCTTCAAATTTGGATATTTGCAAAGTACCTGTATTCCTCCAAAAATTACTCTTGAAAAAAAAATGCCGAACTTCCATTGGGCTGTCAGCTTCTCAAAATTTATGTCTTATTCTCCACTTCCCTTTCATCTTTTTTAATTTTTATGACACTCTGCCACATTTTTGGAATGGGGTTACTTCACTTATTCGAATCATAAAAGTAACATTGTCTTCTGTTTTAACACAACAACATATACAATCACTTAGAGATGATATACAGTTACATTTAAAATGTATAGTTGACGTTTATGGAGAAAACCTGCTTCCAAAACATCACTTTCTCACTCACTACCCTTCAGTTCTAAAAAAAATGGGTCCCCTGATTCATACGTGGGCAATGAGGTACGAAGCTAAGCATCGCGAATTTATCAGAGATGTTTCAATAATAAATAATTAGAAAAACATATGCAAATCGCTCGCAAATAGATATCAGGCAAAAATTAGTATTGCATGGGAAAGTATGACATTTGAAAATGAATTTGTTTTTAACAAATTATGTAATTTAAGCTTTGAAGATTTAGATTTAAGTGCCCAAGACTATTTTTCTAAGACATTAGATAGTAATCAAATACGTCAAATATTGACGACAAAAAAATTCGAATGTAAATATGGATATTTTTATAAGCGAGAATTTATGTTACACTTAAACAAAGAAAACGGACTTCTTACATTCGGAAAAATCAAAAAAATTTATGTTATCGAAAATGACATTTACTTACATTTAGAAATTTTTGTCAGCAAAGAATTTAATTCCATCTTACAATGTTATGAGATTACTTCAACAGATTTTTCAAAAGTTATTTGCTTTTATAGCTTAAAAAATGTAAGACCATTTGAAATTCACTTTATACATTCGAAAATGTTTTTGTTAATGCCCTGTGAACTAATTGAATAAAATCTATTATTAAATTAAGCTATTGTTCCTCTAATATAATTTTAAGTTATTTCAAATAAAATGTATTTCTTAACAAAATTTTATTTTGATTTTTATTTTCAGCACATAGCTTTCCATAATGTTCAAACAAGCAATCCTTATTTTAAAAAATATCAAATTTCTCCTTAATTGTACGTGAAATGTCGTATGTTTTATTAACGGGGTTTTAATTTGTTGAGCACTGTACGCATTGGGGAAAAACCTTTAAGGGTTTGCTTTTAATACCAACAATATAGTAAATCTAATCCAATTTTGGTTTTGATTATATTCCATAAAAGTATTAAATCCATTCCAATTATCAGATAGATCCAAAACCATCTCAGTTACTTTTAATACGAACAATATCCTAAATCTAATCTAATATCGGTTTAGATTTAATTCCATAAACTATAAAATCTATTCCAATTATCATATAGATCCAAAACCATTTAAGTTATTTTTAATACGAACGATATACTAAATCTAATCCAATTTTGGTTTTGATTAAATTCAAGAAAAGTATTAAATCTAATCCAATTTCGAGATAGATCCAAAACCTTTTCAGTTTTATTTTCAATCCCTAAAAACTATAGAATTTAGCCCCATGGTTTGTTTCTAAGAAGAAAAGCTTATTTGAATTAATTCCAAATATATTATTAATTTAATAGCAATAATACATACTCTCTCAATCTTTTCTCTCCCTCTTTGCTTAAACCAGTATTGTTTTAATCTAATACTTTCTGTCATTGTTATATATAAACACCAAAATGGTATTAAAATTAAACTAAATTTTTTACTGTGTGCTTTTGTGCATCTGGTAACAATACATGAATTTCCAATGTATTTAAAATGCAGCAAATGCAGCAAAAGGAAAACCTCTAATGAAAGTGAACAAGTATTATACATACTATGGATTTGCATGAATTTGTCTGGAGTTTCATTTAACTACTTTTTGAATTGGAAATTTGTTTGTGGTAATATATTTTCATTAGTTCCGCATCCTATCATTACGTTGTTGCTTTCAAGTGCTAGTCTGAAAATATCGCTCCTTGACCTGAATACATTGTAAATTCTCCGTTTTTAATTTGCTGCGGTTGGGCCAAGTTAGGCTGTTGACGTTCTCGATAACCAAGTTGCTATTCCGTTATTAAAATTATTATAGCTAACTTCAAGGTCTCTCTGCGCTTAGTGTCAGGGGATACCAGAAGTAAGAAGTTTTCGGTAAAGCTGATTGTAAATAGGCGTAATTCAATAGAGATCTATATATTGAAATGCTGCCTACAGCCCACTCGATATACATTTTTTCTAAATCTGCTAGTTGCCTGAAAAGTTTGTGAAACCCACCCAAGAAGGTTATGGCTTTTCTGGTTAAGAGCATTCAACTAAGCGATTATGGCATTACTGATAAGACTGTATTCTTTGGGGATATCGAGTTGATATTCTAGGCACAGACGATGGCTATACGGCGGCAGTAAGAGGCCTCAAGAGTCCGCACAATGAGATAAAGTAGTAGCAAGTACTTAGAGCTTATTTAGATATCATTTCCCTCAGGACTCGCTTGAGACATTTCCACTCTCGAATGGTCGAAAGTGCACTCGTTTAGACCTAAGGTTCGAACTAGTGAAGAAATAATTGAATTTCTAATGTCACTTACCGGTTCGGGTGGCACCTCATCGAGCACCTTTGGCTCGCACTTTTCCTCCACAGTGCTGTCCGCTGCCGCTGTTACGTTACTCGTAGCTTTACCAGAGCCCACAATTACTTCTACTGGCGCACCGCTAGTTGGGGCGACCGTCGTCGATGACAGTTTAGTTGTTGCACTGCGTTTGGTAACGTGTTTGTGCTCCAAATTATCCGCTAACTCACTGTCAGTGAGCAACGCAGTCGCATCGGTTTTTGTGGACGCTACGCCAACATCGTCCAGCTTGGAATGATCGCGAATGTTAGGCAATAATTCACGACCACCATCGTCGTGTTGGTAATTACGATGGGTGGCAGATTGTTGGCGTTGTGGCTTCTGATGTGTCTGTGCCTCTTGCTCAGTAGCATGTTGCACGCGTCTATAGAACACTAGCCACTGTTGTTCATTGCTATTCAACTTTCGGTTGGACGCCTGCTGCACCAGCTGTTCAGTTTCAGTTTCATCCTCATCTTCATCTGCGTACAATGCTTCCTGTGCTGGCACCACCTCTTCTTCTGCTTCGTCAAACTCGTCATTGGAGGGTGCCGGCGGTGACGCCGCATCATCATCCCCTTCATTATCCAACAAGTAAATGCGCTTCACCTGCACCTGCACCAGCGCATCCGCATCTGCATCTGCATTAGGGTCAACAACCATTTCCGCCACGTCTGCTTCCCCAATGGGAAATTTGTAGCGCCTTAGACGCGGCTCAATAGTGCTGCTGGTCGCGGTGCTGTGATCAGCGGCAATGATGGCCGCATGTGCAGCGGATGCGTGAGCCAGAATTGCTGCGGCAGTCGCGACGGCGGTGGCGGCGCTGGTGCTGGTGGTGGTGGTGGTGAACATCACATGTGGCAGTAGTTTCGGCGCAAGCAGTACGCCTATGGCAGCTGCAGCTGTACTTGTCGCTGCGAGGGTTGGAGCTGTTGCCGTAAATTGCGCAGTGCCGAGCAGCGCCAGCAACCATAGCCAAGTAAGTCGTTTCATACAACCGCACACGATTTTCGAAAGGGTTTTTGTTTTCGTCACAGCTACAATTGCTATGCTACAGGAAGTGGCAGCTGCAGTGAAGCGTCCAATCTTATTGACCACATTTGGATTTGTTGATGTGCGTGTAGGCTTTGCCGATGGCGTGTGTATTTTGGTGGGTGTGTGCGTCAGGAGCAACGGTAGCATTGGCCATCGATGATGATAGATGGGCGATAGTTTGGGCTCTCGTTGGCACTCCTTCTGTTGTTGCTGTTGCTGTTGCTGCTGTCGCTCATTGGTGCTGTATGTGTGTTGCAGTGTTTTCGGCTGTTGTTGTGTGATGATAGAAGGTTTAGGCCTTGTGTGGTGTGGGTTTTGTTCTAGTTGTTGGTTTTGAGTTTTATGTAGTCGTAGGTGGTTCGTTCTTTCGCTTTGCTTTTGGTGGCATTTCCGTTGGGCTAGTTGAAGTAGTTGTTGTGTTGTTTGTTGTGGCTGCAGTTCTTGTTGTTTCTCTTGCAGTTGCTTTTGGGTTTTTTGATTAGCTTTCCAGCGACATTTCCCCCGCACTTCCATATCCGTTTATGGTTTCGGCGTTTTTGCCGCCCTATTTCACGCGCACACGTACGGGGTACAGATAATACTTTAGTACCCTTTTAAGCTGTTTATCAATTAGAAATTTTTACCCAAATGTGGTACTTTTGGGATTAGTGGTCTTTTCTGTAGTTGTTGGAAGGGTTCGTTCATAAAAGTAATTTGCAGGTTGAATTATGCCTGGAAGAAAAGAAAAGTCAGACATACATTAATCAGTACATTTAAATTAATTTTTAAAAAAATTGTGTACACTTTCACACATTATGTCATGTACTTAAGGTCAGCCCATTTGGCCAACTTCAAACACGAATACACCAGGGACCGTTCGCTCTTTAACAATTATTTTTTGACTTACTTACCTACTCCTTAAATTGCCGTTATTTCGGTCTTTTATTATATATATCCAAAATAACAATTATTTTTGATTTTGATCTAAATAATCTGCAAATAACAGTTATTTTTGATTTTTATAATATATGCCTTAGAATAACCGTTATAGAAGACTTTCATTTATTAAAGTCGTAAATAAAAATGGATCACTGACCTTTATTTTTTAAATCATACTTATAAAAGTAATTTGTATAAGGCGTAGTAAACACCTTTTAACTTCGAAAAATGTTAATGACTTTTATACGAATGATTTAAAAAATAAAAGTCGGCGACTGATTTATATTGATGACTTTTAAAAGTAAAGTGTAAAAGTTATCTCATATATATGAAATCTAAAAATCAAAAATAATTGTTATTTTGGATTTATAATATAAAAATTAAAAATAATTGTTATTTTTTTTAATTTTGCATAAATTTTGAAATTCTGATGAAAGTTGGATAATAATTTCATAGAAAAATAACAAGAAAAGGTTTAACTTGAAGCAGTGAGCAGGTGAATACTTGTATAAGTCACTGTATATGTATAGATATATGCATGTATGATGTATGCAGATAGCCAAGATCTCCGCCGAAAGATGTCTGTCAGAATAAAAGTTACAGGACGTTTGTCTCAGCGGACACTGTACCAAGACGAGCAAGAGCGTGCATCAGAAGTAGAATTTAAAAACTATGCCGCCGTTACCAACTTTTGCAAACCCTAAGGCCCAGTTGTTATTTCTGAAAGGGGTACTTTTGAATCTCTACTTAACATGTAACGAGTACGTGACAAATGTTCCAAAAATTCTCAGTAAATATATAATTTTTATTGTTTTACATTAAAGTCGTCGAAAGCGAGCTCACAAACAACATTGCAAGCACATAAAGTGCCAATGGCAACTTAGCTAATTAACAACTTCAATTTGCAATGCCTATGAACGCAGCAACTACTTATATAAAATAAATTTACGCCTGAAAAAGTTGAGTTGCGCATTGTCGAAACTTTAAATTGAATTCGAATGCTAATTTCCATTCTGAGAAGAAAGTTTTCTCGTTGTCATGCGAATGGTGGATGACGTCTGGTTGCTTGTTGTTGTACCAGAAAGATGACGTCTACATGTTCGACTACTGCAGTGTGTAGAAATTTACAGAGAAAAGGTGTATGTATGTATGTACTTCTTTCCATATTGTGTAAAACTCAGTGCGAATTTATGTACTTGTTGATGTTTTGGTATTCACTTAAAATGAAAGGGTAATATTTTATAGGCTTGTAATTGATCACATAAAGCAACATCGTTTCACTATTACAGAAGAACTAAATGAAAAGAAAAATTTCGGCCTACACTAATGTTTATGCATACATACATATATGCATGTATACAATATGTACATATGTACATAGCCTACTAAAAGGGAAACAGATCCACATTAACTGTTCGCGTAATTAGATCAACTTTGGTCACAGAGTCATAGTGCCGACAAAGTACAACAGATCATCGCAGCTTTATTATCAATGTTTCGCCCCACTACCGAGGGTCAGGTGCAACTCTCGCTCCGCATTTGGTCGACAGGTTGGTGAGATAAGAACCTCTTCATTGCGACTGTCGAAGTGCCACATTGCAAGTGCATTTTCAGTGCAAGGCTATGTCATCGCCGGAGCCATCTGAAGTTTCGTCAGATCTCGTTCAGCTTCTTCAAACACTTTAGCAGCGCGATAATGGCAAGTTTATAAATCTATATGTATGTCGGAAGCAAAATTGCGCGTCATAAACGGCTTTCCAGCATAGTGGATGAAGACAGCTCTAGGAACGCTGCATCTGCGGCAGAGTCTGTTGAAAGGTATGTCTACGAGCCAGTGTCCTGAACAGACAACCGTGAGTTTTTAGCAGGCACCGAGTACGCGTTCCGGTTGTGGTTCAGTTTTGCATGAGAACAATATGAACGTTCCCACAAAAGAACCAAACGGAAACAAAAGTATTGAGAGCAGTTTGAACGGGAAAAAATGAGAACAAAAGGTTCGAGAGCTTTTCCGTAAAGAACAAAATGCGAACAAAACGCTCAGGAACGCTCTCGAGAAGAACAGAATGAGAACGAAACTTTCGGGAACGTTTTTCAGTGATAACAAAATGAGAAAGAAAGTATCGATAATGTTTTCAATGAGAATCAAATAAGAGCAAAAGCCTGGGAAACGTTCTGCTAGAGAAAAAAAAACTCAAACAAAAGTTTTGAGAACTTAACGTTAAGAATGAGCACGGCGTCTGCGTTTTGGGATGAAAAAGTCATTTTAATGGAAACTATGATTGTTAATTGTAAGCCAGAGGAAAACTGGATAATTTCAACTTCCAAATCGTTTATTATTAGGGTGCGCTGTCCTTTTGTGAAATAATTTTTCATTTTATGTGCAAGAAAAGTTCGTGTATTAAGTCTTTCGTTGAGTTTATTTTGCATATTTATCTTTCAATTCTTTTTTGATTAATTTTATTATTAAAATATTTTAAACCAATGGAACGCTATGAGAAAAATTTTGTTGTTGTTTGTTGTTTTGTTTTAAGTTCCTGAGACTTAAGTTCCCAAATGGTTCTTCGAGGGACAGTTCCTTAGACTTTTGCTTCCGTTTTGTTCTTTGCCAAAACTTTCCAGAGACTTTTGTTCCCATTTTGTTCTCTTAGAAATATTCTCGAAAGTAAAGATAGCCATGCCCTTCAGGAACTAGGTCTCTACCCGAATCCAGTCACAGTGTCCTGGGAATTTTGTTCGACCTCCGCTGTCTCTGTAGCACTTCTGGTTTTTATGAGGTACTTTTTCATATCACAAGTATCTACACTTGGAGGATTGCGGGATTCGAGCGCTTCCACCAGGGATCGAATTCGGTTCCTACCGAGTGGTGATATATACCATTAACATCTCATCTACAACAGATGTCAGAAATGCCTTCCAAAAAAGTAGATTTGCATAACAAACAGAAAGTATTTTGTGCTTCACTTGCCTACGCCTACATTACCGTTACGCTTGGATGAAAGTGGCAGTATTTTTGTAAAAATATCTGGCATAATCACAACCCTAGTCAACTCTTGTATGCATTCATACCTACATATGTACGTGCATAAGGTAGATAAAGCAAAGTCATTTATCTGCTCTGCTATTTTTGCATTAATGGACTCTCCCTACTGTAACCATAAAATTTACTTTAAAGCTGAAGCACAACACCGGCGAACGGCAAATTTTTCGTCGCGAATGTTCGCCGAGATAATTAAAACACACTGATTTATATGAGAACGCGCACAACCAAAGCAAACGGCGAAGTTTGCTCGACGACTGTTCGCGACGATAGATTTATTTCTATCGCCGCGGTCAACGGCAACGACAAAAAAAGGCCATGATGACCATACTTTAAAAGTTATCGTAATTTTTGTTTAAAAGTAAAATAATATACCTTATATTTTTCTATCAGAGATTAATCTAGTAAAACGTAAGTTTACTACTAGTTATATTTAAAAACAATTTCTATATTTTAAACTTCTTCTTGCTGGTATTTTCCCTCTTCGTTGTAAAAGCTTCCTTCTTGAAACACGGTCACCTTATCAGCTGACAGCATTCGAACCGCTTGATACCGCTCTATTTGTGTTTCAGTAAGCGAATTAGTTGGGCGAAAGTTGGTCGTCGGCATCGCTCTGCTGGGCGAAATTTAACGTTCGCCGGGTATTGTGTTTCAAGCATTAGTCCAACAAAAATTTAGTAAGGCAAAGCATAGAGGAGATTGCAGAGCTGATAAAGTAATCACATTATTGCACGTTGCATGCAACAGTGTGGAACAAGCAAATCAAAGTCGTAATCAAAAATAGCAATACTAATACAGATTCTGCGACAAGCAACTAGCTATCAAGAAGCGAAGCTTATGGTAGCTAAGCAGCAGAGGGATATGATAGACTGGCAGATAAAAGTGAAATACGAAAAGCAACCGAAATCTACATAAAAATACTTAAGAGCGAAATACACCACACAAGCGGTTTGACAAACCAAGCGAAATTTCCCTTTGCTTCAAGCCATTTGTGCTGTGTATGGGGTGTTTGAAGGTTTGACAAGCCGCTTGAGGGAAATTTGAGCAAAAAATCAAAATTTTTTGATTTTCTGGCCGCCATGTTGATGTTTGATCAAATCGCTTGCGTTGTGTATAGCAAAATCGCCTCATTCGCAACGAAATTTTCACCGAGTAAGGACGTAAGAGAGGAAAATGAAAGAAAACCATAATATTTAGCATTGCGAACTGGAAGAAAACTAAAATTCTTTGCTTGAACGAGTCATGTTTGCATGGTGTATGGCGAAATGGGAAAAGTAGGTTTGAAGAATGTTTGACAAGCCGCTTGTGTGGTGTATTTCGCTCTTTAGATAGTCTGACAAACAGTTAGACAGCGCCATAAATGAAATTGACGCACTGTTGGCAATAAAAAGCGAACCAATAGATTGGAGAACAGCACATAAAAAACACATACAAAACCTTAAATTTACATAGCCAGACGACATTGGTTGGCAGCAGTGAAAACACGATGACGCTGTTTTGAAAACCATCACGAAATTGTAGAAAGCAAAAAAAAAAAAGAAATTCATAGCAGTTGCAGTGCAGTGGTGCGCGTAGTAAAATTCAAATCAGGCAAGGGGCACAGAGTGCGACGAGTTCACTTGGCTGTCAATGCTCATGCATACATACATATATGGAAATTGAGACAGCATTTGAACATTTTGGGTTCAAAGCAAATGTCAAACTGTCGACGATTCTGTATGTAAGCGTAACCAAAAAAAAAACGAGTATAGGAGAA